CCCACTAGATTCTTGACCTCCTTATTCCAAGTTACACCTCCCTGGAAAAGTAATTTTTTTTTTTTTTGCGTTGACCCCAGCTCTTTTTCCAAATAGACCCTGCCTCCATTTTTGAGTTTATTACACTTTACCCAGAGCTCCTCCATCCCTAAACCCCACCCCCTCCCCACCCCTTTTTTTTCTCTCCCCTTCTTTCTTTCCTTCTGTCGCTCTTTTTCCCTCTTTATGATAGGTCCTATCACATTGGACTTCATTGTTCTTTTATTTCCTGCAGGCAGCTTGCTGCCCAATGTTTTATGGAAAATGTCTCAGATTTATCTGGCGATTTTTTCGTGTAACAATTTGTGTAATGACATTTTCAATCATTGCTCTGTGGCCTATTATGAGATGCTTAATCTGTGTGAAATTAAACATATATTCAAAAAATCATTATACTTCCAAAATCCTCACATTGGTTTCCGAAAACTAGGAAAAGTGTATACTTTGTTAGCAATTCAGTTGTATGTTTTGTGCTCATTCCTTCTGTAATTTGGATCTAGCTTAAAGCGGAGCGCCACCAAAAAGGGGAAGTTCCGCTTTAATGCTTTGTCCCCAACTCCCCATTAAGGATTGGCACCTTTGGGGAGTGGATACCTGAATTTGACAGGTACCCGCTCCCACTTCCTCTGTGATCGCCTTAGCGATCGGAAGCGGAAGTTGTTCGCCCTCCTCCCTGTAGTCTTCTGGGACCTGGGACAGGTCCCAGAGAAGACTACGGGGCCATTCACAAAGTGCAGCATGTCTCGCGCATGCACAGTGGGCTTTAGTGCCCACACTAAAGATGCCGGTGCCAGGGAGAGAAGACGGCTGGTGAAACCAGCGGTGGTGAGGACACCACTGGACCAAGGGACAGGTAGGTGGCTGTATTTTAAAAGTCAGTAGCTACAGTTTTTGTAGCTGCTGACTTTTAGTTTTTTTTTTTTTTCAGCTGGAACTCCGCTTTAACTATTTTCACTTTAAAGTGGAGGTGCAGACTTATTTTGTTTATTAAAAGTCAGCAGCTACAAAAACTGCAGCTGCTGACTTTTAATAAATACATATTTACCTGTCCTAGAGTCCAGCAATGTTCTCACCTGTGTCGTCCCATCTCCCCTTCTCTCCTCCATGGTGCTGGCATCTCAACTGTGGGTACCAGGCTATTACAGCTTGCAGCTTCACAGCCTGGTGTCCACTGCGCATGCATGAGTTGTGCTGCGCCTCCTGATTAGTCCCGCGCAGTCTTCTAGGACCTGTGAAAGGTTCCAGGATACTGTGGAAGGTAAGAGGGTGCTATACTTCCTGCTCACTTTGCTGAGGCAAACTACCTTTCAAATGGTATCTGCTCCTCCCTCCACCCCAAAACGTGCCAAATATGGCAGTGGAGGGAGGAGAAGGCAAATAAGTGGAGCTTCCGCTTTTGTGTGAAACTCCTCTTTAAGTTTACAAAAATGTATTTATACAATACATCTGAGATTCTGAATTGTAGTCTACACAATAGTTTAGTGAAATGAAGAATACAGTAAATGGACAAAATGATTTGTAGACATCTATCCAAACAAGTTCAGGAATTTCCAATGAAGGGTACTTTTAATGCCATAGAATACACTTGTGGCAACAGTTTGGGGAAGATCCTTTTCTGTTCCAGCCTGAATCTTTCCACACAAAGTAAGGTCCATAAGGACATGGTTGCATTACTTTTTCTGTAGAGGAACTGATCATTGACTGCAACCCTATCAACAACTTTGAGATAGATTGGAATGATTTTGATTCATCTCAACCAACATCAGTGCCTGACCTCATAAATGCTAGCTGAATGTGGCCAGATTGCAATAGACTCTGCTATTGCAAATGGGGGGAACAACTCAACTCTATATCTAACAAGACAGTCCATGTATAGCAAGCTTAAAAATGTGTGATGGTCTGGTGTTCACAAACGTTTAGCTATATAGTGTATTGCACTACATATGGCCAGTACATAAACTGGATCTTTCAGAATCTAGAATGTATTTCACAGGACAGAAACAAACACAGGAAGTGTCTGCAAATGTCCACACTTGAGAGATTTAATGCCTGTCTCAAGTAACATCAGTTACTGGGAAAGGAACACTAATAAGTAAAATTACATATAACCTGATAAAGAATCCAACCCTTTACTTATCTAAAATTAAAATCAACATTTGTGTATATTTCTATGTTAAATGCAGATATACTGTATTTTCAAGAAGACTTTTGATTTTATATCTAAACATGCCCTTGTGCGTTTAATTTGTTAGCTGTATGTTACTTGTCTTTCTGTGTCTCAACCTTACTTCGCTGTAGGCCTTTGCATTTTTTTGTATTTAATCTTGGTCTATATTAGTCTACCATATTCATCATCCTCCACATGATCATTAACACCTTATGACTTGTTCCAATCTACAAAACTCTACATTTGTGGTGACTTGCTGTTCTTGTCCTGCTTTAGGTCCAGTTTTAGCTGTCTGACTATCTTGTGATTCAGTGTATTTCTGTATATTGCTCTTACTTCTGTTTGCTTGTTAATCTGCCTGGTTTTGCTTCCTGTCTTTAATTCCACTCTCGGCTTGATTTGGGTAACCTGTAAATTAGTCCTTGTTTCGTACCTGTCTTATTCTAGGGCACCACAGTGGCTAAATGATTAGCACTTTTGCCTGGCAATACTCGGGTCGCTGGTTCAAATCCCAACCATGGCACCACCTGTCTGCAGTTTTCATGTTCTCCCTGTGCCTGCATAGGTTTCCTCTCACACTCCAAAGACATGCTGGTAGGTTAACTGGATCCTGTCTAAATTGGCCCTAGTATGTGTATGTATGACTTTGATGAACCTTAGATTGTACACTCCTTGAGGGTTAGGGACTGATATGAATGTACAATATATGCATGTAAATTGATGGCACTACATAAGTACCGTATTTTCGGCATATAAGACGACTTTTTACCCCTTGAAAACCTTCTCAAAAGTCGGGGGATGTCTTATACGCATGCTGACACTTGGTGTCAGGGCGGCACGTTTAAGGGGGGCGGCGTGGTGCCACCGCTGCCCCCCCTTCCAACGAAAGGGACACTAAGTACAGGGGTGGGCAGGGGCTGCTGTTTCTTACCTGGCTCCGGTCCCACGACGATCCGGTCCAGGAAGCGCGGCTTCTCCTTCATTCAGTTTGGCCACTGGATGTTCAGGCGGCTGCTCGGCTCCGCCTCCTCACCGGTGATTAGCCGCCAGAACTGTAGCTCAGGAAAGGCACACAGGCAGCCAATCACCGGCAAGGAGGCGGAGCCGAGAGGCCCCGCAAAAATCGAGTGAAGGAGCGGCCGGTAAGTGTGCCGTGCAGAGGTGCTACTACAACCACATTTGCTGGCTGCAGCAGCACCATACTGGAACAGGGGTCAGCAAGTGTAATTGGTGTCAGTGGGAGGAATAGTGCCCCATCATTGGTGTCACTGATACCAATGATGGGGCATTATTCCTCCCACTGACACCAACGATGGGGCACTTTCCCCCCCCCCACTGACACCAACGATGGGGCACTATTCCACCCCCCCCACTGACAACAACAATGGGGCACTATTCCACCCCCCACTGACACCAATGATGGAACACTATTCCTTCCACTGACACCAATGTTGGGACACTATTCCTCCCACTGACACCAATGTTGGGACACTATTCCTCCCACTGACATTAATGACGGGACACTATTCCTCCCACTGACATTAATGGCGGGGCACGATTCCTCCCACTGACACCAAAGATGGGGCACTATTCCCCCCACTGATACCAATGATGGGGCACTATTCCTCCCACTGATACTAATGTTGGGGCACTATTCCTCCCACTGATACCAATGATGGGGCACTATTCTTGCCACTGATACCAATGATGGGGCACGATTCCTCCCACTGACACCAATGATGGGGCGCTATTGCTCCCACTGACACCAATGATGGGGTGCTATTCCTCCCACTGACACCAATGATGGGGCATGATTCGTCGCTCTGACACCAATGATGGGGCACTATTCCTCCCACTAATATCAATGATGGGGCACTATTCCTCCCACTAATACCAATGATGGGGCACTATTCCTCCCGCTAATACCAATGATGGGGCACTATTCCTCCAACTGATACCAATGATGGGGCACGATTTGTCTCTCTGACACCAATGATGGGGCACTATTCCTCCCACTGACACCAATGATGGGGCACTATTCCTCCCACTAATACCAATGATGGGGCACTATTCCTCCCACTAATACCAATGATGGGACACTATTCCTCCCGCTGACACCAATGATGGGGCACTATTCCTCCCACTAATACCAATGATGGGGCACTATTCCTCCCACTAATACCAATGATGGGACACTATTCCTCCCACTGGCACCAATGATAGGGCACAATTCTTCCCACTGGTGTGCATTGGAAGAGGGGTAGTCTTATACGGCGAGTATAGCCCAAACACTATATTTTAACAGGAAAAGTAGGGGGTCGTCTTATACGCCCAGTCGTCTTATACACCGGAAAATATGGTACCTAAAATATATATTTAATTTTGTTTCTCAACCCTATGATAGATGTCTGTCTGCTACTCCCTCCAACTAGGCATTCTTGAGGTCCATGTAGCCTAAATTCATTCATCCCCACCATCAGATGTTCTGGAATAAGCAGGCACTCTTAGGTCTTATATTTGTTACAGTCTATACAGTTCATTTAGTTTCCTTGCTGCTTGTCTGTATTGTATTGCATAATCTATGATTAATCACCTGGCTCTTGTCAATCATCTAAGATATGATTATTAGTTGCTTGTCTATCTGTGTTCCTAACCCCAACACTAGTATTATTTTTTTCCAATCTGAGGCAGTAATCTCCTGTTGGTCCTGACAGTAAAAAAAATTAATATTGTTTTAAAAAATCTAGTTATTTTTAATGGGCTAAACAAATCACAAAGCACAGTTTACACTCACCTCTGTCATTTTTTGTTGTTGCCATAAACATAACAGGTAAACCAATTGCTGAGGACAGTATCCAGTTGCAGACGTTGACAATTTTGGCATTTCGTGGTGTTCTAAAATCCAGAGCTTTCACTGGATGGCAGACTGCTATGTATCGGTCAACACTCATTGTAGTTAGGGTAAAAATACTTGTGAACATATTATAGTAGTCTATTGATATAACAATTTTACACACAATATTTCCAAAAGGCCATGTACCCATGAGATAGTTCACACTTTGAAATGGCAGGGTACTTGTTGCAAGGGCATCTGCTAGGGCAAGATTGAAAATGTAGATATTGGTGGCCGTCTTCATTTTGGTGTACCTAGAATGTAAAATAAGACAAAAAGGTTATTTTAGATTTAAAATTATTAGATTATCGACAGTCAATTGCAGAAAGTATTTAATGCTATGTACTTTAGTTTTTCTACATTGTCTTCTAATTTTATATAAACACGGCTTTCTAACAAACTATTTTCTTCCAGGTTTTGGTTTTTTGACTATGATCTCTTATAATATGGTTTAGAATTTACAATACTATTTCTCTCTTTTAAAAGTTCATGTCTCAATGAGACCTAATGAGACGCTTTTTTTTAGGTATCAGAAATGGCTACTTATGTCATCATTCTTGTTTTTCTGGCGCCTCAAAAGTCTGTTGTGGAAAAGATTTTTTTTAGGAAAACTGAAATCCTTTGACCTGTTCCTATCTTAACACAGTAGGGTTCACTCCTAAGACTGATTTACAGATTTCACCTGCAGCTTGTATCTCCTTGATCAGACTCCAGATTTCTGAGAATGAGAAAGAGTACTCTACACAACAATGGAATGGAACTGTTAACTATATATATTTATATATAGCGCCGACTGATATTATATTAGGGGGACAGAACATGTGACAGAACAATAACAATACAATGCAAAACATGAGGGGATTGAGGGCCCTGCTCTTTCGAGTTTACAATCTAGGAGAGGAAGACTTGAGTTTCAAACTGGTTGTTGCAGATCTATGTTCCATTATTACTGCAATCAATTGTGTAATAGATACATACAGACTATAGTGTATAATGTAGTAGCTTGAAATCTGGTGTTGCCTCTACTTTTATACATGTAACAAATTAGAATCCTAACATACTGGGGCAGACTGGGACTCTGGAATCCACTAGACATAGTTAGGTTTGGCGGCCCACCTTGCAAACATGACAACATTAAAACCTACAGCCTTTATCCAAAAGCACTGCCATTATTTCTGGAGCCCCGAGTTAAACACACAAGAATTGTAATTTGCATTATATTTATAACAATTATGCAAATATAATTGGACAAATGAAACTGTCAGATGTATACATTTTTGTGCTCAGTGAACAACATCCAAGAAGTATTTTTATATACAATAACAAAGAAACAGATGATGGGTAAAAATTACATACACAGTAATTGGTCAATCAAGTGCCAGTAAGTAGATGAGGATAATAAGGAATAAACAGAAATTATTGTATTAAAAAGTCCTCAAGATATTGACATCAGTTTCAATAGACTTTAGACATGTCTGTAGTGAAAGTGAAGGGGAAAGAGTGCACATAACAAGAATATCATTACTATTATTATATTACTATTAGTTATGTAGAATATTTAATACAATTGTTCATTTATAATCAAACAAATGTTTTCATCTGATTTCTACACTTTGTGCTCAGTAAACAACATGCAACAAACAGATGACCAGAAAAAAACCTTCAAAGTGCTTGGTCAAACAAATGTATACACAGTCCTTGGTCAAATAAATGTTGCTGAGTATGATGGGATGATGAGTATTTGCTCAAGCAAGTATCACTAAGTATAATGTGGATGATGACCAGTGGTGGAGAGCTAAAATCATTATATTAAGCAGTCTTCAAGATTTTGATATCAGTTATGTAGACTTTGTCCATGTTTAGTGAGAGTGAAGGAGAAAGCGCACATGTAGCAGGATGTCTTTCTAAATTAATATTTAGCTGTGGTGTTCAGTAGCGCCCCGTACACACGATGAGAATATTGGATGAATGATCATCAGTTTTTGTTTTGGTTTTTTTGCATGCTAGTTTCCAAATTGAAAATGAAGAGGTTACTAAACTTACAAAAATCCTCATACTGGAGAATAAAAATTCGGAAGTGATATATTGTATTTTCAGATGAAAACAGTACCTTTTAAATGAAAATCATACGATCTGGTATTGTAAGAAAAATTTTCCTACCTGTCCCTTTTAATAATTTTGCACTAATGATTAGATTATCGTACGATTGCTTTGAAGGTGGTATTTTTCATACTATTTTGTTACTGTGTGTATTAGACTAAGTAGGAAATTCAGGAAGATCCTGTCCAACCAAACACCTTAATCTGTATTTTTACAATTTGTAATTTTGAAAAGAATCTTTTCTATTTTGGAAAAAATCTTCTCTATTTTGATAAGAAAACATCAGTGCATGCAGGAGTAAGACTTACATTATGTATTGCCAAAAGGTTTGCATATGCAGTAGATGGAATGGTATGGTCACAATAAAAAAAATCCCATAGCAAAAGAAGATCCTACAGCAATCCTATAGCTAAAAAGATAGCTGCCCAAATCTAAAATATACCAATTCGAAAATGAGTGACTGACCCCCACTGTTCCCCAAATAAATAATACCATTCTTACTATGTCCCTGGATATAGTCTGTTCATTTTTAATCAGTCATTCATATAATGATATTAATTTAGGCTTTTCCAGTTCACTTACTAAAGAAGATGGAAGCAAAAATCCCATAAAGCATTAGCATTACCAATCTAAAAGTGAGCGACTGAGCCCCATATAAATGATACCATTCTTACTGGGTCCCAAGGTATACAGTAGTTTGGCAATTTTTTGGCACTTACTGACATTACTTTAGGCTTTTCTGGTTCACTTAGAGAACATGGCTGCCCACTGCATTGCCACATGTTTCTTCCTTCCTGGATGCCCAGCCCACACAGTCAGCTCAGCAGGGCAGTCTCTTGCAGTTCTCAATGTGCTCCTGCATGGGTTGGTTTCTATTAAGGTTGCTGAGGTTGCTAATAGGAGGAGGAGGTCGGGTTGTCTGGCATCAATCTTTAAAGTGGTATTAAAGGTAAATGGTTTTTTACCTTAAAGGTGACACTAAAGCTTCTGTGTTTTTTGATCAAATAACAAACTTGTCTACACTTACCTTCTCTGTGCAGTGGTTTTCAACAGAACAGCCCCAATCCTCTTTTTTTTGGGTCCCCACCGGTGCTCCCAGCTCCTTCCCCTTGAGCAGTGCCCCCAGGGAAAGCCACTTGGCTATGGGGGCACTACTGTGTGCTCGTCCCCGAGCTGCAGCTCTATGAGTTCATAAGACACATAGAGCTGCGATTCAGACCTGCCCCCGGCTCTCTCCTCATTGGCTAACTGGCTGTAATCGATAGAGGCTTTCGAGAATGTCGCTGGATCAGAGCGGGCTCAGGTAAGGTTTCAGGGGGGCTAAGGGGGATGCTGCATACAGAAAGTTTTTCACCTTCATGCAAAGAATGCATGAAAGTAAAGAACCTTGAGCCTTTAGAACCACTTTAATGCATTCTCTTTGTTAAGTTAAAAAAACCTTTTAATAGTAGCTCCCAGGCAACCCCCCCTAAATACTTACCTTAGCCTGATCTCGATCCATCAATGTGCAAGTCTGCAGCAGCTCTTCTCCCCTCACCTCACTCTCACAGGTTTGGTTGAGAGTAAATCTGAGAGCTTAGATTAGGGTGCGGGGTCAATCCGGGCTGTGTGTATCAACAGAGGCCAACAGCCTGCCTCGGGATCTAGCATGCATGAGTGCCTCCATAGGAAGTGGCTTCCTCGAGGGTGGAGGATCCAGGAGTGTTGGCAGAGGACCCCAGAAGAAGAGGATAAAGGCTGCACTGTGCAAAACCATTGCACATAGCAGGTAAGTATGACATCTTTATTATTAAATTAAAAAATCCAAAGCTTTACAATCACTTTAATTCTTACATAACATACACTTCCTTGCAATGCAAGACAGAGGTGCAACAGGAGATGGAGGGCGATTGATAGCCAGGCAGGAGCCATTAAAGATTTAGTCATGTGCTGAAGCCGCTGTTCACAGTGAGAATTGATGGGAATGATGTGGCTGAGGGACCTGGGGGAGTTGCCCCTGTTAACAACTCTAGATGAGCAGCTGTCATGCAGATTTAATATTCAAGCTAATCAATTACCTGCCACGTTTTACATCTTTAGGCGGTCCTTTTGAAACAAGATATTCTATTATGAGGCATGTCCTACTCTTTATTGCTTTGCCCCTGGTGATCTGCCACCTGTGCTATCATTATGTTATCCTGACTTCTCTGTAGCAAAAATCAGATATTAAGCTCACACAGTGTGGGCACAAACATAATATGGACATGCAAGTAAATGTTAGCCATCACCTCCTGTCTTAGCTGTTACATTCTGAACAGTACATTTTGAAATATCGTTCAAATGATACTTGCTACTCCCTGTAAAATCTTTCCATTGACTAGTGAAAATATTTTATTCTTACAAATATATATGGTTAAAGTGGTTGCAAACATCAGAGATGAAATATGAAAAAAGCATATCCCTCTATAGTGTGCTCTTGTCCCAACTAAGAGCACAAGGTGTCATTTCTGTTTGCTGCTTTGTTGCTCTGCTATCAGCATGGGTCACTTCTGACAAGTTTTCCTGACACCAAGAGAAAAATGGTGACAGGGGAGGGACCTCCAGAAGATTGACAGCCGTTATTCCTGTGTGAAGGGTGTGTGTCTCTCTTCTCTCCAATCAGCTCTCAGAGCTCTCCTTAGTGAGCTCTGCAGAGTGTAACTTCAGCTCTCCACCCCTTTTTTTTTCTGAACTCTCAGACACACTTTATAAATTTTAGACTTTGAACAGATGTAAAGAAGAGAAGACTGCAGATAAAAACATTTGAATTTGTTTCATCTCTGTATATCACCTGAGGTCAATCACTTCACTGGGTATATGTGAGGGCTTACAACCACTTTTACATGAAGCTAAATTAAATATTCCTTTTTTTCAGATACTTGTATGCCAGATAACACTTTTTCAACTTTTTTTATTCCTTTTTGCATAAAGGTTTATATTAATGAACAAATGTTAACCATAGTAAACAGCCTTGTCAACGTTAAATGGTTTGTCTCAACACACAAAAAAGAACAGACTTACTGTCTGTATCAACAGGTCAAAAAATAAGAAAAAAAAAGAACATATATACAGCCACCACATATTTTTTTGTTTTTGGGTTTGTTAACCCTTAAAGAATATGTTACCCCAAAATTTCATATTCCTGATATGTGCCTGCTCTACCATGTACTTTTATGAAAAAGTATCCTGTTCTCTTTGTATCGCTTCCTTTGTGTGAAATACCTGTTGCTCCTGC